GAATAAATCATTCCTTTATTTGCACCGACTTTTAGGAGGCATGTGGGTAGACCTAAATCAAATAGATTTTTGTAATATAATGAATGAGGCTCCCTCAACCTCAAATAAGAGTTATGGTTATTGTAAGAAAAAGGGTCACAATAGGACAATGTGTCTATATAATCCGGCATCATTGAGGTAATAAAGATAATAATATTAATTTTTTATAGTTAAATTATATGAATTGTAATGATTTTAAGTGACAGCATACTAAATTAGATTACATAATTTATTGGTATGGCTGACAGAACTATGCGTAGTTGTTTTTGCAGGCACACTGCTCATCATAGTGCTACAAAAAGTATACCAGTACAGAATAGCATAGCATCACGCAGGGCATCTCACAGGGTGCATGATCTAGATCAAGTACATAGAAATAATTAATGTCATGATATTTTCATTGTTGCATGTGTAAATATCATTAATATTCTAAAAATTAAAATGTATAAACATCCCCTTTGGTTGTCATAACTCATCTGCGCATGGCTCGTGAATGGCTAGTAGAATGCCCTCGTATGATATATGTCTATGACAAACCTTGGATTATAAAATCTCAGGCATTTTCAATTCATTAGGTTGGATCTCAATCTTATCACATCATTTATGAAGAGATAGTGTACATTAACCAATACATTCCATTTGACGATTGGCAAGATGACAATCACATTGCAGGATATGCAAGTTTTATTTGGCCTTAGAGTTGATGGACCTACTATGGTGAGCCTAAATATTGTTGGGAAAGGTCGCATATGGATAACCTGGCCTATCTATTGTGATGAGCTACTTGGGAAAAATCCTAGAAGGGATACAATATACCACGCTCCATATGATAAGAATGATGCTACGACCTTCAGGATGGGTTTAGCATAGGTTGAGTCCATGCTCCCACTATGTTGGCTATGATGGACTTTTTATAGAGAGTTATATGATGATTTGGCCACAAAGCCTTTTCTTTAGTATGTACGAGCATACATCATATTCATGATTGGTTGCTTTCTGATACCCGATAAATCTTGGAGTCATATCTCGCTATAGTGGTTACCTCTGATTATGGATGTAATAAGCTTTAGTAGGATGTCCATAGGCGATGCGATTTTTGCATATCTTTATAGGGAGTTCTACTAGCGATAAGGCCAACAAGGACATATATTGCTGGATGTGTAACACTATTACATGTATGATCATGGGAAAGATTGCACATAGAATGACCGACACTGCGAGTCCCACAAATTTTTGACTTGGCTGGATGAACTTTGGGTTGCAGGTTAATAAGCTTTAGTCAATTGAACTTAAAAGTATTATAAATAATAATGCTTTTTATAAATGAATAGGCGGGCTAAAGAGAGGATATGTGAGCTTCCATCTAGTAACATGTTGATGAATATAGATGATTTTGATGGTTTATGAATGAGTCATGTATGATTACATTAGATTAATCATAATAAATTATTATTATTCATAATTAATAAAAATACTTTCTTATCTCAAATTATCATGTTATCATGACTCCATATATACAAGAAGTTCTAGATGCTCTTCCCATATAGTGCAGAATGGGAGGGATATTTGGATGGCATGAGTACTGCTTATTAGTTGGAAATGTGCGGAGTGGCACCTCCCAGACCGTGTCTTGAGACAGTTTTCAAGCGTACAATCCTTTGATATTGAGCCTTTGGATCAATCTTTTAGGCGTATTGATGGCTGTGGTAGTGCAGATATTGATTGGAATGTATAGTACCGTGACTACCTATAGATATGGGAGGAGAGGAGGGCATATGTGGTTCCCATCACTCCACAAGAAAACACATGTAATAGGGAATTAGGTGCTTATCTACGGTGGTATAGATCTTAGGCATTCATATACCTTTTATAGCCACAAATTGAGCCTCCAGAGACCTTTTTACCTAGATCACCAGGGGAAAGATTAGTGGTATGTGTTTCATTATTATATGTACTTTATAGATTATTTATCCTAATTTTAATATTTAGTAATAATTAAGCACTCATTACTTTATAGGCGGACTGCTACATACAATCTTCTACAATAGTTCAACGATCTATTTACATTGACAACACCACTTCTGATATAACTATAAAGGAGACACAACAAACTAGGGAACATGGTGTGAGTTCTCAAAGACTTTAAGGTAGAGACAATCTATTTCAGATGCTCCATCCCGGTTGATGGAGAGCAGGCACCGACAGACTGTTGAGATTGATCCGCATCGACATTTCATGGGTTATGACTTCACGGGCGCCGGTCCTTCAGCCCAATATTCGAGCCCATACATTGGACAGTCTAGTGAAATAGGAGAGATATATTATGGTGCATAATACCAACATCCCAGCACACAATCATTATTTCCAATAGCTATTCTAGAGTGGATGTCATCAATAGGATTGCCTTCATCTCCCACGCAGTAAGACATTATATTAATGGGGGGTTATCCAATAGAATAAGGTACACAACATTCACAACTATGTGCCAAAGTTGAGTAGCAGGAGGATGATGTCTCAAAGGAGCCACAACTACAAAGGAGAAGACGGAAGGCACCAATTAGATATACTCCAGGGAGTGGGGCTTTACCCAAGCATCGTTAGTTTAATCTTTGACTTTTATTATTGTTATGATATTTGATATTTAGCTTTGAGTTGTAAACTTTAATTCATATTATAAGCTTTGGTTATTAAAATTTCTCAACTTTTTTTAATTGTTATTAAAAGAAATTATTATTTTTTTAATATTTTTTTGACTTCAAATGTTAGTGTAAGATAAGAAAGATAAACTCTGTATGAGCTTGTATAAATCACTCATTTCAGCTACATTACTCAACAATGTACTCCTTGGGTGCTAGAAGTAGTGTCCCAATCAAACAAATGATTAGAAAGGGAAGCAGCTGCTTGCATGAAAGTTTATCTTTTCTTATATATGAGGTCCTTAAAGCTAGGGTATCATCAAATGATCTATTCAGGTGTATTATGCATACTTAGGATGAAGATGAGAATTGCTTACTATGGTACAAACATAATGAAGTGAAGAAAATTAAGGAATATAGAGGTGGCCCTAAACTTTGAGAGGTGGGTTGGAAATATCTACAATAAAGCTTTAGCGTTTATGACCACCACCTTGTATCAATATATTTCCTTAAGGGTCAAATTCGAGAACTTGGTCATGATAGAAAAGGTATAGTTGAACCAGGGATTGAAAGGTCCATACTTGATATAGAAGCATTGCATTCTATATTGTTATTGATCTCGTGAACAATATCAACAGATATTAGATTACTATAAAATGCTGTTGCGAAGTTCTAAACATGGTCAGGCTAAAGATTTTTTTAATGGAGAAGATTGGCAATAAATACAATAAGAATTAGAGTTCTTCTTCACATGTTAACCTATATAAACACAACTTTAAAGCTTGTCTATGATATCTAATGAAGCATATAAAACAGTAATGAACAACATGTCAAAATAATATGTTCAACTTAATTGACATTGCCGCGCTTCTAAAATGTACTTCATATTATTATTTTATTTTCTCAATCAATTATATTTATCAATTAAATTGATGAACTCCAAATAGAGTTAGCTATATATTGTTATGTGAGGTTATGCTGAAGCTTAATATATATATTTGTTATATTTTTTTATTTAATGATAATTTGATATTTACAACTTTTTCAATACATAAAATTCCTTCTAGTATTTTATATTCTTGTGCAATGCATCAGAAAGAAAAAAATCCCTTTGAAGACCTTGATCATGGAGGGCTGCCCTAGGTTAAGGGAATGTTTAAGACTTTCTACTGATATAGTGTTAGAGGAGAAGACCAGATCAAATGAACTTTACCATTGTTGTATTCATTTTTGGTCCAATATGAAAGATTGCATATTATGAGACATATACAATATAGCTAATGGAAGACTGCATATTATGAGACAGATACAATACAGCTATGACGATTCATGCTTATAGGGAGGATGCCGATTTGGATGAGGAAGATTGAAAATATGTGTAGAGGAAGGTTGCAGAAGTGGTAGGACATCTAACACCAATGAAGATTCTGAAGGAAAGACATGCTGAAATAAGAAGGCTAGAAGGTTGATCAGTTGAGGTAACTGTGGACAACCCAAAAGGCAATATAAGACATTGTATTATCTACAAAAGATGGCATCCCTGCAGCAGATGCATTTCTCGCTAATACATATAATAATCTAATATATTTGCAAGGAAAAAAGAGGAAGGAGTTTCTTGATGCATCAGATTGGGAATGCTTCCAACATTGATATAAAAAAAAATTCGGTTGTTACCCAACCCAACACAACTCCAAGCCCGCATGCACATGGTAATAAAGAAACATTGAAGTGATTAGAACTTTGTAACGATCGCGATGTAAAGACTCTTTCAATGTAATGTCAATATCGTTTATGTTTGTTATGGTTGAACTTATTATGTTTTAAGGATATGTTTCTTTAATCTTTTAAATTATATTTATAATTAAATTTTATAAATAAATAATATTTGTGTAATTTTATAAATTTTGAAATTTCACGATAAGGTCATAATTAATAAAAATAAATTCCTAACTCAACAACTTTGTACTATTTTATGGACATCAATTAATGCTCTCCAATTCTATTGAATGATTTGTGGATCTCACTGGAACCGAAGTACTAATAATAATAATAATAAAATAAATAATACACTATAATTTAATGGTTTTTCTACATACCAAGACAAGATGATTATTTTTAATTATTTGAAAATAAAAAAAATAGTTTATAATATTTTAAATTAAGATCTTTATTTTCAAGTCATAATATATATTATAGCTTAGAATATTTTACTAGCTCCATAAATATCTGAACTTTCTTCGCCGATAGGCAACCAACAGTAAGGCGGTTTATCTGCTGTTCTTACCCTTGTGGCGTTTGCCTATAAATAAATCCATAGGGCGGCACATTCACATATAGCTAAGATTCAATTGAACAAATAAGCTCTGCTATATTTTCGTTTACCCTGTGCCCTTGGTGCTTTACATAGGCTAGCTACCTGTTCATGGACCCTAGCCAGACGGTTCTGCCAGCTCCGGTTCAAACTCTCTCCGTGCCTTCTTGCTCTTCACCATCGGGTCATTCTCCTCCTTCCCCTGCATCGCGCTCCTTCGATGCCTCCTCAGTTTGTAGTACTTTCGGATTGTTCGAGACCCTTTATCCAAGCATTTCGCGAACCACGGACTGCGCGACTCCTTCCTCTTCTTCTCAACCGATGATATTTCGAGCCACCGGTGCTTCGTCATCAACGAAACTGGAACCCAAATTCCAGTACTTGCCAGGTGTCTCCAACAAATCTCTCATATGTCCGTCTCCTTCCTGCAAATCACTGCCGCAAGCGAGCGTAGTCGTGGACATACCAAGGCCTCTGGAATCGCTGCAGAGCTCTCCGATTCCGCCATTCCTCTCGAAGACGTACGACATCGTTAACGACCCGTCACTGGATCGCTTCGTTTGCTGGAGCCCGGCTGGTCAAAGCTTCGTGGTGTGGGATCCAGTTGAGTTTTCGAGGGTAGTTCTTCCCCGGCATTTCAAGCACGGCAATTTCTCGAGCTTTGTTCGTCAGCTAAATACTTATGTGGGTATTTTACATTGTTCCCCCAATCTTGTCTTTCAACATTTTTATTTAGATGTTTCTTTGTGTTTCATTTGTTCGCTTACATACTCAGTGTTTTGGTTTATTTGCTGTATATTTGATGATGTATATTGTTTTGTTTCTGTATATCTCCTTCTCTTTTCCTTTTTATCAGCTTTTTATATGGTGTAAATGTATTTTCCCCCTTTTTTATCTGTTGTTGTAAGCGGGCCATATATGTTACTGTTTTGTATTTTAATTGAGAACATGTTTGTAACACGTAAGAGTGTGCTATGTAATCATGGAATTTCAAAAATCAATGTAACAGGACATATATGTAATTGTTTTGTATTTTGATTGAGAATATTTGTTTGTGACACGTATGAATGAGCTATGTAATCATGGAATTTCAAAAAACAATATGGAAAGCGTTATTTCAGTAGTCTACTGTAGCAATAGCAGTATCTTCGTCTACCACGCTGCTGAATGCAAGATTAGCTCGTTGATAGCATCATGCACGTAATTGGAGGTGGTTGTTTTCTCCGTGGATGATGGCGATGTTCTTACCGGTTAGTGGTAATACTTACAAGCATGTCAATCACTAATTTACCCATACCAGGTACTTTAATCTTTGCAGTTATTTCTCTCTATATCCTTTTCCTTATACTTTATCTGGCTGTACTTTTAACTGGAATGTTATATTACTGCGCATAATTTATCTATTCAGCTGTAGCTAATGTACAATTACTTTATTATGCTTTTACAAACTCATCCTGATAGATCTATTACATAAGTCATTTTTGTATAAAGTGTTCCAATCTATCTACTTTTAGTCCCGTTTTATGGGCTTAAACATGCTAGCTTATTTTGTGAGATTCATATATGATCATTCGCACATATATCTCCTTTAAAATTTTCTACTTAAGAATTTTATTTTCATGTTTGTTGGATCCACGTTTGCCAATGGGTGTTACTCAACCTTAATAGCAAGTGAGTTCTGGGGGGTACGATCTGAGTGAGGAGGGGATAGAGATAGTGAGAAAGAAAAGAAGTCTGTAGGAAATGGTCTACTAGCTCAAATCTTTATAACAAATGGCAAAAGAATCAAAATGTTACATGTCACCCGTTATTTATAATAGTTCAAAAGCTATAGGAAAGGTTGCATTGGACAATGATTAATGACACTTGATACATACTCCCACAAATGTGTCATACCCTGGCTAACTCAATGGATGATTATGTCTCTCACTTTTGTTTCTTTGTCTCGGGCTAGGTTCTTGAATGTCGAGTATGTAGGGGTGAGTAGGAGTAGGCAAGTTTGTTAGTGCGGGTTAAGTTGAGTGGGTTGTGGTTGGCGAGCACTCTGAAGTCGTCGATTACCTTTGTTGGAGCCCTAGGTAGCATTTGAGTGAGAGACAAAAAGGTTTATGAGTCGAGGGTAGTAGATTGTCATGTAGATTCCTTTTAATGATAGTGATGTAATGTCACTCATGATCGACTCTTATAAAAAGAAGTCCTATGTTAGAGCTCTTAACATTTTTGAAAACTTTAGTTGAACTGTAGTGCCCTGCAATTATGATAAAATGGATTCTATTGAGCTAGCAATTTCTAGCACCAAACTAGTGTGGAATGTATCAATTCACATTTCTTAAGGCAAGAGAAATGACAAAAGGGCAAGTCCCTCTTCAACTAGCAAAGAGAAAGTTATTGATGCTAGCCCTCAAATTGTGCAGGGATCCATTGGGCCAATTCCCTCTTCTATGAAGAGAGATTGAAGGTGGAGTTGGGTGTGGTGAAGACGGTCACGCCCTTACCGACCATGACATCCTTGAGATTGTAGTTAGAGGTGGAAATACAGCTAGTCTAGGGAGAATGATGCTCTTCTCTAGTCTTGAGGATGAATCGTTGGCTATGAGGTTGACAAGATGAGTCCCTCTAGTGCATCTAGCAAAGGAACAATCCACTAAGTTGGTGGTCTCCACGAAGGCCGTGGCGACCTCTATAGGAGCCAGGTTGACTGCTCCCCCAAATGAATTATTTGAAGTCTTTGGAATGGATTTTGACTGGTGGTTGAGCATTCTCCACTAGCGTACCCATTATGTGCCTCTCTTTGAGCAAGTTTCTGGGACATATGTGGAGTGAGTTAAAGGCATTAGCATTAAAGTAGTGTGTGCATAGCTTGTACACAAAGATGATAACTCTCCTTAATAGAATCTTACTTCTTCCCTTGAGTATCTTAGATAGAGAATTCTTCATTGTTGGCTCTCCATTAGTGATCACATGTTTGCCTCCTAAAACCAGTGTTTAGGTGGCTAGGCCCTCAATTATGGTTGAGTAGGCAATAGAGGGTGAGTAGGTTGTGGAGGTTGCTATCGATTAAGGGGTGCCTATTGTGGAGGAGGCCCCAACTTAGGAAATGGCAGCACTAGAGAAGCCACTATTCTCTTTGTCGTTGGCGCCTCAGGTGATGGCACATCCCAGGCCAATGAATTACCTCATTATAGATGGTGGTAGAGTGAGTCAGCATTTTGGAGAAGATTTTGAATTACAAAGAGTGGTTAGAAAAGGAGGGAACTCCCAAAAATGCACTACCTTAGATATGGACATCTATCTCAGGAAGGATGTTGCAGTTTGAAGGGTGAGATGATGGTAACCCACGATTTTCTAAGGGTGAACCCCAGTGAAGGTGGGAGGTTCCTCCTGAGCTATCTGTAGGGTTACTATTGCCTGAGGCGGCGACAAACCTTATTTGTAGGGTTTTTCGTGTTTGTGAGTATCTTTGCGCTACTTTTTCTTAAATTGCAATGTAATATGTAAAAAGTTTCTTAAAGTAATAAATTATCTTCATTTGGTCGAGTATACCATGTAATCATATGTGTTGTGCTTTATATGTTATGACCTTATTTTTATGATGAGTATTTGATTATGTTTTTTTTATTTATGAAAAAAAGAGTGATTTTGTATTCTTTTCTCTACTTTTATTTATGGCGAGTTAGTTATCCTATGAGTGTTGAGTTCATAATTTGTGTGTCAGGTGATGAATTTGTGGTCTACCTGCCGAGTGATTGACTTTGTGAGATTTGGTGTTTTCTTATAAGTGGGGCTTTTCAACAAGTTATGGGTGTGCCACATGAGGGCGAATTGAGTATAAACGGTAGTTGGCAACCATTCATCAGGGCAAGTGGGAAGAAAGTTTCGATATCTTCAAGTAATGATGAAAGGCAATGGTGAAATATAGATATTTAATGCAAATGTGACTAGTGCCTCAATACTCGTGCACCCTTTACTTCTTATAATACTCCTTGGCTAAGTTTACATTGCGTGAGCTCTTCATTGAAACTTCCTGATTTCTAGAATGAGTGTGCTAACGATCTTATGCCTACTCTTCGCAAATGCGTTGTTGTCTTTGGGATTGTCGACTACTTGTTGTCATCCACAGTCGCTCACAAATTTGCTGCCCACATCTTTCTTGCTTGTTTTGCAAAAATGATGCTATTGGTGCGTGTTCCCTTGGAGGATGAGTACTTGAATACCTGTGTGAAGAGGACATCTACATCCCATGCGACCACCTCAAATTTGGAATGTGGCTTCTCTTATGTAGTGAGTTCATGGAATTTATGACCTACTATGGGATCTTCTCAATTCAAATACTACCTTACTTGGTGGAGAGTGTCATCTCGTTTTTTGCCCACAAGAGCCCATTGTGAATATGCCTACGACAAATAAGAAGTCATAGGCGCGATTGAAGGGAAAAGGGGTGACCACTGCTCTAGTGACAAAGATAGCCTAGGTCCCTCCTCCTTAATCGAGCAAAGGAATTGTCATCAGCGAGTAGTGCGCCATGAAGAGGGTGAAGGAAATAAGCTGTCCTCAACTATTGACAATAGTGCCAGTGAAGGTAAGTGAGTTGTTTTTGAAGTTGAGGAAGAGAAAGATGAAAAATAGCAGTCTAGCTACTCTTTAGACCCTTTTTGCTTGGAAGAATCAACATTCATGGAGGTTAAGGGCGACACCATTTGCCCTCTATTAAGTTGTTCGATTAGGGGCTAGTAGTCTTCTTAAGGTCGTTGGAGGCAATTCTTGAGATAATCCCCAAAAGTGAGATCTTGGATTTGCAACTATGAACTATATGAGAAATGCTTAGTATACTACTTTCGTGTTTGGTCACAGCCAACAACGAGCTACTACAAGGATAACCTTCTTTTGCAAAAAGGCTTATGCCTCTGTTTAGGGTTACCTGAAGGAGTTGTTGGTGAGCCTCGCCATTAAGGATAAGAGCAATGAATTGCATGATAGGTTCACTGAGAAGGAATAAATCCTTAAGGTGGAGATGAATGAGTCATCCCTGAAGGATGTGTCACTCACTATAAAGGAGCTTGCAAAAGTTGAGTTCATAGTTGTTCGCCGAGGTCAAAATGACAGAGGACAAATACATAGGCCTCTTCACATTCACTAAGTACTAAAAGATCTTCTGCTCAAATATAAGGAGAGAATTGAGTACTTCCTTTGGAAGCTTGTCTATATGCTGGACCCAAATTTTGAAAACCCCACTACTTTCTTTGAGGCGGCTTACGATAGTGAAGAGAATAATGGTGTTAGTGCCACTGGAGACTGAGTCACCTTTCATTTGTACTTATTTTTTTTTCTTTTTTGGTCTGTTAAACAAATTGCAAATGTAATGTAATTTTGGAATTAAATAAAAAATTTCTTCTCACTTTTCTTCTTTTTTATATGTATGTTTTATTCATTGCCTTTTAATTTTTCTATGTTGGACTTGGCTACTCTTGTATGAATGGAAAGTGTATTTTATGAGTACGTTGGCACTCGCTTATAAATAGTAAAAGGTTTTTTAAAAATTTTCTATGTTTTTTTAACTGAGCTATAACTGAATTAATAAATGACTTGATTTTAATTAATTGAACTCAATCAGGAATAAAGAATTCAACCACAAATGAAATAAATAAATAAATAACTTAGCAGTAAATGAAATAAATACATAACTCGATTGTAAATGAAATAAGTAAAGAACTCAGCCATGAATGTGGTGTTCATTAGAGCATAATAATAAAGGTCTTGTTTAAATGAATTCAAGGAGATCGAATATCAATAGTCGCATGTTATAGCTCGACAAACCAAAATTCATTTAGAGAATAATTTAGCAGGTAATACCTTGACGAATATAATGGAAGGACTAAGTGATCCTATGAGACTTTAAAATTGCTTCAAAATTCTAAGTCTGGAACTCAACAACCCATAGTATAGAATAATGCTCTTAAATATCTCGATGATTGATATTTTGATTTGCTGTGTGGGAAGTATTCTTTTGCAAGTC